ACTGAAGAGTATGTGATCTTGTAAGTGCTGATGGCACAAGAGCAGCAAATTAGGAGCAACTAAACGTTTGTGTACTGCATAATGCAAACCAAAGAATATCTTTCATTGTCTTTCTTCATGCACACATTACAAAAAATCAACATCAATGACACAAAAGTTTCATTACCATGTCATTGTGAATGTACTTAGCCGCCAATCTCCACTGCAAATTTACATCTAAAAATATGTACAGCCACCTGTTGCTACTGCTACAATTGTTTAAACCAAAAATATTCATTACTTAAACCAGCCACTGTTCTCAGCTACCTTTCCTCATGCCACATCATACGCTGCCCTGCTGAGCATTTGGCCCACGTTTTCCTTTGTCTTGCATTTGCTGCCAATGTATCTACAGAAGCTGTGTGTCCATGGTGTGTGTGTATCTTCCTCTTCCTCTCTACATTCAACTCCAGCTGAGCTTTTCCTTTTTTAATTCTGTCTCTGCATGCCCAGCCAGTTTCTTATTTCTCCCAGGTAGCTAACCAGATGCATCTGCTCAACTGTCTGCGTGTCAGAACGGACCATCCTTGTACTCCATAGAACGCAATACCAAGATAACACAACAGAAAGGAAGGACACTATGCAGCAAGAAACAACCAAAGAAAAAACCCGGGTACTGGTCCATTCTGACTGAATAGACCAGCTGAAAGATCGTGAGCCCTTCTCACAACACTATGCATTAAAGAGAGGAGAACATCAGCAAATGTATGCCTTCTACAGAGACCACAGAGAAAATCAAGTCTCAAAACAAAAAGGTCTGGAGTATATTCTGTATGAGAAACGTACACATGGACTTTCCCTGTCAAAGCTATTGCCACTACTGAGGGTGCTTATCACACCTTCCAAAATCTCCACTCGTGGAGGTCTTCATTGTAACGGGCACGGTTCGGACACAGTAAGTAGGCAGACGGAGGAGTTAACAAGTAGAAATATGCATGATGCTATTTTCCATGCATAAGGACTGACTAGACCCCAGTTTTCATTTTCTTTTCACATTTCATTTTCTATTCACATTTCTTTTGTGTTCTAGTCACTCTGACTGACTAGACCCCAGTTTTCAAATTCAGTCCTATTCACATTTCTTTTGTGTTCTAGTCACTCTCTATAATTGAGTATATTTCTAGATGACAAGAAACTTAAATCCCAGTGGAGTAAAATAGGGTAACTGGTAAAACAGTGCTAGAAACATCTCTTCTGGTTTAAGAATGTTTAAACTTAAACTTTATAAAGATAAAATCATATTGAAATTTATCCTTTTTCATATTAAGTGAATTCTTCAAGCTTATTGTCAGAAAAAATTTATATAATGCTTTTGAACGTATAATTTTTGAAGTTATGCATAACTTTATGCATTTATTAGTAAAAAAAGAGCTACTGTAAAGGTAACTAAACCTCTAAACTAAACCTGAATTTACTGAATTTAGTTCATTCCTACTTATTAAAATAATACTGTAAAAATTAAATAATAATAGTAAAAATTTCTTATTCACTGCATCCTTCCAGCACAGATAACAGTCTGGATCAGTTTTCCCACCAGTTTCCCAGCCCCTTTACAGCGGTTTCATCTAATCTGTATCTCCCCGGCTTTACTGTCTCAAGTTTAATGCTTCTCTTCTGCTGCAGCATGAGGTGCATATTCTCATATAACAGAACAAAATTAGTTTTCTCTGATATGGCTCATGCTTGACAAATCTATGTTGACTTTTACTTATCATTTCGTTAGCTTCTAAGTGCTAATAAATAGCTTATTTGTTCCAGAACTTTTTGCAGCTGTCATCTGATTGCAGTTGACCTTCTTAGGGAGACTAAGGCAAAACAGCCATTGAATACTCTAGCTATCTCGGTAACATCTGCTGATAGCCCTTAATGTCCCCTTTAATCTGTTCAGTTATTTCTTGATTTTGTAACAAAAAAAAATCTTTTGCTGCTAAAGCATTATAGAATTATTCTTTTTCTGTCCTTGATGTCTTTTGCTAATTGCATTTTTTCTACAAGTTTCTGTCTCTTCCCATCCCTGTCTGTGCAATTTCATTAGTTTCTCCTTTTTTATATTTCCTTCCAGACTCCATTTCACAAAAGAATACGTGATACAGACTTTCTATTGTTGCCATATATTTAATCTTTCTTTCATACTGAAACAATTTGCTTTTGTGCTCTTCAATAGTATTGTTAAGAAACTGACAACCCTCAAATTCCTTTCCTCCATATCAGTTTACCTGTCTGTTTTTGATGTTTATTGGCACTGCCTTATTGAAGTTCACCACCTTTATGCCAACGTTTTCTTTCTTTCCTTTTCTAGTTACTGTGAACTCTATCATTTTGTGATGATTCATCCCAACGTACTTCTCACAATGGGGCTGTACTTCCCCACTGGCTGTAATCAAAACTAGAACAATTTTCTCATTGTTTCCCGCTAACCTCCACACGGCAAACAAACTGAGCTATTAAAGTTTAGTAGCAAAGATTTTGTTGCTAGACTAATGTATCTTGTATGTAAAAATATGGGCCAATTCTTGCAATAAAAAAACCCCAAATACATTAAAGCATACAACTGACTTTCATCCCTTTTGATCTGAGCTATTACCTAATACTCAGATTGACAGGTTGTTTCTGTCATGGGCTGAAACAAGTTATTGAGGCAGACATGCGTTGATCCAGCTCTATTTACTTAAAAGTAGCTTTTATGATTCTGTCAGAGTAAAAAATTAAGTCACTTTTTCCCTTTTTTACCTCTAGGTCTTACCCCTCTGATAGCAGCATTGTTACTCTTGCCATCCCTATCCTACCACCATCATCTTTTGCCTGCTTCTCATTTTTAGACAGCAAACCCCATGAACATGGCACAGTACTGTATGTGCATTCAGAACCTCAGGGAGGTTCATACAGTACTGAGGGAATACATCTCAAACTGTACTTCAGCCGCTGCTCCCACCTCTGATGGCTAATACAGAACTGGAACACGCTATCACTTCAGCTCTTAAAAACACTGGAACTTTCACATATTCTTCGCTTAACCTAACTGGGAAGTAACTATTGCAACTAACAGGTTCAATGGGGATTGTAATCCACTATATGGCCAAAGCACTAACATTGAAAGTCCGTCAACCTCCAGCATCAACTGTTTGGATAAGAAATTTATCAACCTCAAAACCATTTCAGAAAAGCCAATTTATCCTTTCCATTTAGAACACAGTGTGCAGAAGCCTTGCTTGGGTTTTTTTACCTTAATGTACTATTTCCTGAAATATATAGAAGAGGAAAGAAAGTTAAACTTTTAAAGTATATATAAAAACATAATTCTAAATTTGTAGCAGTGGGTTTGTTTGTTTTCTGTTTTTAAGTTTCTTCTCTAAAACAGAGCTCAGCCTTATTACCTAGTACTTCCCCACCACTCTTTAGGACGTACAAAAATGTAAAAATTATTCTGTTTTCACTGCAGATGATCACTGGTTCATAATATGAAGAGCTAAGCAATAACAACTGTTTGCACACCAAAGCACTGTTATTTTTCTCATTATAACTTTTTTTTTTTTTTTTATTACTGGCAAAACACCTTCTTAAGGCTTCCCCACTCAATGTTTACATACTATGCAAACTGCAGCCCGAGACAATTCACATCCTTCTGAAGCCATTTCTGAGGCCTTCCACAGTCATGGCAGCATCTTGCCTCTTCCTCTTCCCTGCAGCTTTCCTCATCTAAATAATTTGATATTTTACTGCTTTGTGGAATGAACTAATTAATTGTGCATATTTTTTGTTTTGTTTTGCCATTTTCACCTTTCCCTCTTAACAGCTATTTTTTGTTAATTCTCTCAATAGAGGAATTACAGGCATGTCTTCCTAACTACCATCAAAACAAGTGTTTCTCACTTGGTGGGGGTGAAATAAACATGAATTAGCAATCAGATTAGGCATTCTTACCACATTTGGCAAAAGTATCTTTAAATTGCCTAATGGTGGCAGACACATATTTATGAGATGTAATCAAGCCACTAAGAGCTTTCTAGTATAGATCACTTTTTTAGTGGGATATATTCTGAAGAGCTACAAAACTGTTCTCACTCTACTCTGAACTTTCTTGGATTAACATTATTCACATAATAATGTTCTTCTAATGAGAGGAAAAAAAAAATTGGGGCTCCTTCCTCAGTTTGGAACAAATCTAAATCTAATTTGCTGAAAACTAAGACAGTTTTGACCACGGTAGCAAACATGGTCTATGACAACTGCCAGTGCATGCCTTAATCAAAACTAAAAAAAAACCCCCCACAAACATGCTGTACTTTAGACCAGACCAAGCTACACATACTTAATTTCCAAGACACAACACATATGCTCCAATACTCTTCTATATATTCTGATGTTTCCAAAACATACGTTTTTAAAGGAAAAAACACAGCACATTTCACGTTTGCTAACATTACTACCAATTACCTCAACATACTGAGCAACACAGTTGTCCAGCCTAGACATAGGGATAAATATGAATATTTTAATTTATATTGCTAGCAACAGAGTGATGAAAACAAGCTATATTGTAACATGCCTGTAAGGTAAAGAAAGGATGGGAGTTAGAAACCTTCAAGTCAGCATCCAAACATACAGCAGTCCTCAAGAGAGTCATACAGTCCTGCCATTATTAATACCTCTTAACAGCCCTAAGGAGGCAGGTAATAAACACTAAGACCTTCAGTAATGTGTCAGAAAGTCAGAAACCTAAATAAAATTTAACTATTCTGTGCCTTTGATGCTTTGCTTATATGTAAGCACTAAATTCCATATGCAACGACTAGTATTCCTCGTACTCCCACGTATGCATTGCAGGGCTGTCAAGGTATGATTTATCAGCTTTGGCCTTTCAGTTGCCTCACAAGAATAGCTCACATGCTTTTCTCCAATGTATTTGCTTTGTTCATAATTTTTTTCCTAGGAAGCTTTTTAGTTATTTGATATAGTCCTACCTGATCTGCTTGCCTTCTCGAACATCGTACAAAGAAAAAAAGACATCTGTGTCTTCTCCAATTGTATTGTAGGTGAAGCTCTTTAGACTGAGGAAGAAGTGATGAGGCACTGGCATACGGCAAGCTTCCCCATGACGCTGACGAATTGTATCCACCTGATCAAAAACAATGAAAATGATTTTTAGTTCTTCACAAATAAGACACACGATCAACCTGATAACTTTAACTGAGATTCTGCTCTCCCTTCTCCATCAAGTAGAAGCTTAATCTCAAATATATTCTACCTTAGAGATACATGGCAGATTACATTTTCTTCCTCTATTTTTAAAACTTTTAATTTGAATATTTTGATAAACCACAATAACACAGTAAATAGGAGATAAATGGTGTATGCCTTTGAAATCTGTTTTCAACAAATAAACCAAGTCAATTCTATTTCTCAAATATGGTCTTGATTCTGGTACTGAAAATGAACTGTAGTAAGATGGTGCTAGGGTTGTTCTTGATAATTTCCATTTAAAACAGGTGGACTTCAAAGTATTTTTAAGAATAACATTTGTTGTGCTATTTCTTTGCAGCAGCTGCAATTCATTTATGGAGGTCATTTAAAATCAGGCTTTACAGGCTAATATGCCCTGCAGGTATAACAAAGAGAAATCTTAACAACAGTTGATAACATGAGTAACCAATAAAGTCAAAGAGCAGAAATGTTAACATTTTGATTCAGTATATCAAGACCTATTTACAACAGTGAAAACTGAGGTGGAGGGAAGAAAAAAAAAGTATAATTAGAAATAAAATTGCTCTTTAATTTTTACAGCCCTTTATATCCATTGTACGCTGACCCTAATATAACAGGGTGCATGAATAACCTTAGCTCACTAGGCTAGTCTCCTCTGAATGCATAGACAGGTTACTAACAACAACAACAACAAAATCTTAGCATTTTCAGATTTTCAACCCAGATTTGTACTACCTTAAAAAACAGAGCTTAAAATGAATTTTGTTCTGGATTTTAAATTAAATCCAAGTAAATCCTCATGCTTTAAAGACGGGTACCTGTAGAAGCACAGCTCTCCTGGAAAGATTAGACCCAGATTCCATAACCAGGAAAGGATTACGTTACTACATAAAGGATATGTGAAACAGAAGCCTACTAAGCCACATGTTAGCAGCTGGAAAAAAAGACTCACATGGGCAGACTGAGGCTTTTGATATCACTGCAGAAGTTGTTCTTTTAAGAACGACAGAGCCAAGTTAGGGCCTAAATGGAAGTTGAAGAAGGACCTTAATAGATTAATTACTTGGGGATCTTCTAAGGAAGGTAGGGACTTACCCAATAATCTCCATCATAACTTTACATATATTACAAAGCACTTAAAAATAACAAAAATTCATACGTAGGTGAAGTTTACCTGTGACGTGCTCTGCTGGACACTGTGTCTACTTGACAAATGCTGTGGAGATAGAAAATAGTAAAATCTAAAACATTTTTGAAAGTAAGAAATATTTACATCATATCTGTGTAGCATTAGAACAGCAATTTTAAAATATGACATTTGAAGATTATTACCAACTTTTCACCTTTAACCTTTTTTCAGACTATATCATAACTCACAAGACCATTAGCTTTCCTAAAGGCTTTTCTCAGTTAAGCCATTTCTTAACCTAACTACTCCAATTTACAGGTGATATTTACCTTAGCTTTTAATGTAAATGGCTGTCACAAGCTAAACAGAATTTCTAACACTGTAAAGGTATTTACTATTGAAAAGTCCATCGCCCTACCCTGTATAATCTATGTGTTCTCTTGCTAAACAGGGGTTAAAGACTCTTCTACAATTCCAGCTGGCCAACACCTGTAAAGAAGCATCAGTATAAAGAGCTACATCTCTGAAACGGAAGTCAGAGGATGATCCTGTATTTAAAGCCCTTTATGCTAGAAGGAGATGTTATAATCAGAAAATGGACTGCAAGTCTCACTGAACCCATTTAATCTCCAAAGGCATATTAAATACTAATCTAAATTGAAAAGGTTTCAGAGAGCTTTATAAACCATATCACTAATGATTCTGCCATGCCTCCTCTACACACATTCGTCTTAACATCAGCATTTTAAACTGAAATATTAACACTACCATGTTAATAAATATTCTCTTCATTCGCCCCATCTCTATCCTTTTATTACATACCCAACATTTTATTCTGACCAAATATACACACTCTGTAGCAGGACCAGCACGATCTGTCGATAACCTTGTAGCTTTAGAAGAGGTGAAAGTAAAATAGTCCAAAAACGTACTCAGCAATACTTTTTCCAAACCATGCCACTCTCTTTCACACAGAACAAAAATAAGACTTTTTGCCTCAAAAGGAGAGATAATCTTCATAATGGGACTAAATCAATAAGATATTAAGTTAAATGGCATATTTTGACATCTGTTTACATTCACAGTTATACAGATGTCCTCATTCATAGTGTCAGCAGAAGAAACCATGATCTTCAAGCTCCATTGTTTGCCTAACTACTACAGTGTCTCCTGAATGTTAAAACCCTCTAAGTTTAGGTGGTTGAGTTGCCTTTTTAATCTTTTTGTCACCTACAACCGCTCAGAATCAGCTGGCATAGGAAAGACCAGTTATTTAAGCTGCTCAAGGTATCCTGGCTTCTTTTGACTAAAATTTATCTCTAAAGCTAAGTAAGAAAGTGGGAGATAAACCCAAGCAACACAAATGTGAAGTGGTCCAAAGAGCTGCAGTTTCTTCAGCAAACACAGCTGCTTACAAAGTGCACATTTAGGTAAGCTTCTGACAATAAGCGGCCAAAAATCAGGTTTTTAATTTTTCACAATCAAAAGACTAGACTTCCCAACACTCTGCTTTTATGCCTCAGGACCAAGCTACTGCAACACAGACAACCACTGACTGAGTTAATTTTACAGACCCTTACCTCTGGCTAGGCAAAGCAGCCAAACTGTATGTGCTCTCTTGGAAGCCATGTTTGGGTACATGAACCAAGAGGGTGACTGAAAATAGCCAACATGGATTTACCAATGATATAACCCAAGTTAGAAGAGCACTCCAGCAGCAAGGACACTTAACAATTTACTCTTTCTATTAACAGAAATGTAGATTGAAAATAACATTTATTCCTTTTTACTCAGCATTCAGTAAACTACATCTGAAATACTACACCCCATTCAAAGGGCCACCAGAGCAGCTGGGAGCTGGAACACACGCTGTATGAGATGGAGGGAATGTGGCTTTTTTAGTCTGGAGAAAAAGTCTGGAGATGATCTGATGGCAGCCTTCAAATAACTATGAAGTTATTATCAAGATGACACAGCCAGGCTCTTTACAGAGCTGCAAAGCAAGAGAACAAAATCCTGTGGTCATAAACTACAACATGGGATATCCCAACTTTCCAACCCCATCAAGGCAGTCAAGCATTAGAGCAGGGACCCAGTCTTTTTCCTTGAAGAATTTCAAGATCCCACAAAGCTCTGAGCAGCCTGGTCTGAATTCAGTATTGACCCTGCATTGAACAGGAAGTTTGACTAGATCTTCCCCAAGGCACCTTCCAACCTGAAAAGTCTTGCAAGGTGATATAAAAATGGGGCTGTTAAGAAGTTATCCATCTTCCTTAAAAAAAAAAAAAAAAAAAAAATCAGTTTAACCTTTATTTTTCCCAAAAGACAGCTGCCCGTTAAGGTTGTACAAACTTTAACAGATAAGACGGTCCATTTCAGTATATCTTTCTTTATCAAAGAGCTTTCTGATGCTTAAACTGAATCCTTGTCATTCAAACCTAGGCCCACCGATTCTTGTCTTATCCATATCCATCACTGACATGAAAAGATTAATTAATTCAACTTGTGATTCAATTATAATACTCAAATCTTCTCCTGCAAAACCACCTAAGCTTGCACCGTCCCAACTTGTACTTCAGAAGCAACAACTGACTGTAGAAGTTAAAAACCTGCAGTTATGATCCTACACTTCTCAGATCATTTCTTCAATTTCTCTATACTGTTTTGAATTCTGATCCTTTCCTCCCATGGACTACTACTTCCAACTTTGTGGTATTTGCATATTCAGTAAGCATACTCCCTATTTCATCATCCAGACATTAATGAAACATTAAGCATTATGAAATGGAGGATGACCACAAGAAATTAAGCTGATTCATCCCTCCTCATATTTAATCAAATTATTGACAACTACTCTTCACCATTTTTTTTAGTATGGGTTTTCTAATTAGCTTTGTGTTTACTTTACAGCAATTTCATCTAGAGCTAACGACCTTATGAGAATTTCAATTAAAAAAACAATTAAAATCTTTATGAAAATCTAAATATGGCATCAGCTGCTTTTCCTCTATCCACTACACTAATTTATGTTCTGGAAGTAAATTGGAACTTTTAAAAATTGCTTATTCTCAACAAGTTCACAGTCACTATTGCCTTCTTGTTGCAACTAATTGGATTTCTTTTTTTCTCTTCCAGCATTTTTTACAGGGAGAGCATGATTACTAGCCCCTCTTCCTCCATTAGCTTTTTTTAAAGGTGTAAAGTGTGCTTTCTCTTTGCTGGGAACCTTACCCATCTTTCCATAATATCTTATCTACCAATATTAGTTCTTATTGTTCTTCCTCCTTCCTTTCCTAACAATGCTTGACAAGTGAATCCTATCATTACCAAGTCGGTCTCAAACAAACTGCTTTCTCTCTTCATAGTCTCAACTGCCTTCTCACTAAGGTTTAGAACCAAACATACATAAATCTGTCCTCTGACAATCTGCTTTGTTAAACAAACAAAAGATTTTATGGATTTCCTAACAGTTTGTGTTCAGGTGTATTCCTTTTCTAGCAGAGTTCTGGGCAATTCAATTCTCTATTTTCAAGTTTTATAACTACTCATTCTTATCAATCTCATTTTCTGTCTGAATAAAGAATAAGCAATTATGAGGTCATGGCAGCATTTATTTGAAATGTGTCTACTTATTAGGAACTCTGGTAAACTCCTGGGGTTTTTTTAGATAGTTGAAAGAAATGGCTAAGACATATAGCAGCAACATAGCCAGTAGTTGTGCCTTTCACACACCTCTTAAATTCCTCCTGAAGACACATACACAAATCAATAAATTCACAGAAAAGCAAAACATATTTAATCATCGCCAGGTTCGAAAATTTCTGATTTTTGCAAATGCCTCCAGATATTTGTGGTTTGTAACCCCTTTCACTTACAAGTGCTATCCAAGTGTTTCTGACATTCTGCCTGACTTGTGTTGCTAAATCTAGTGGCAACTCCAGCTCTGAGCTTTGTGGCAGAATTCTTGCAACATATTCCCCCACAATTTCAAAAGCAATGATTTTTTTTTTTTTAAAGTGTTCCATTGTATTAGTTAAAATCACCAACACTGTCATAAGGAAAGGGCAATTTGGTTTCCTTCAGGAGTAAAGTAAAAATTTCTGACACATGCTGGGCATTCTGAAGCCACTAGTATTTAGCTTCCTGAGGAGTAACCTGGAGAAACAGGATATACAAGGCCTCAAAGCGCAACAGCTCTGACAAAGAGATGAATATACTACTCATACAGTAGTCACAAGTGTACTTAGCAATGAAAAATGAGAGCTAAAAAAGATGCTCAAATTTTAAAATTTAAAATATACCAAGAAAAGTAATGCTAAGTCTAATGACTCTGTATAAACTGCCTGAATTTGTTATCACAGATAGGAAAGTCTAACATGTTACCTTGTCCATTGTTCTGCTAATACAAGACTGTTTTCTCTGGTACATTTAACATTCTACAATCCTGCAAATATGACAAAGTAATTGGGCTCTCACAACGATTCCCACAAGATTATTTTACAACATAAAACCTCATTGCTCATTTGAGAGCCTATTAAGTATTTTGCCAGGAGTAAGGAGGATTCTCTCCCTGGGTTTTTGTTAAATAATAAAAACAAAAACCGCATTAAAAAACCCCTAAACCACCAGAACAGCACCAATACATCTCTCCTTCAATTTCTGCCATATTTAAGCTAAAAAAATAAAAGGTTTTCAGTTGTTCTGGTTCCTGAAATTGCCTTCTGACTATGAACCAGATGTGATTAGACAGCACTGTCTTCCTGAATCTATAACCTAAAACAACGGTGAAGTGTGAACTGACTATTGGTCATGTCCTGATACCAGCACAGATCTGAGCAGTAAACTGGGCTGTGGACATCTGCTCAGGACTAAGACGGCCGACATAATCAGACTACTCCAACGAGTAAATATTAGCTCCTTGCTGTACTACAAGTATTCAGAGTAACAAAAGTCTTCAGAATGAAATACAGAGTAATAAAGCAATCCTGTTAGCAGCTTATCTTGCATTCTCTGAATCATTATCGATTTAATTTTGTACTGAGTTATTTCTATACTGTACTTGAAGGAAAACTGCTCTAATAGCACCGAACTCTCCTCGGACCATGGCAAGTCAGGAACAAACATTAAAAGTCAGTTCTATAGAGTGATGTACTTCAGTATTTCCTCATATAACAATTTTTACTTCTTTCCATGAAATCCATTGTTACATGGTACAAATAATCCAAAACAGCAACAGCATGTAGCCTGTTTATAAAACATGCCTTTGTTTTAGGGAAAAGTACATCTTGCATATCAAAAGAACCCCACCTAGACCTATTACTCCCTAATCTTAGATAGCTGAAAGCCAAAAATATTTTAAATATGAAATTAAAAGTTGACTAGGAGTGAGTGAAACTGTAACAACTTTTATGCAGAAAAAACACTATGTTCTTTGGAAGATATTAAGCTAAGAAGTGGTATTAAAGTAATTGCTGAGGCTTTTTTTGTTTTGGTTTTTAAATAAAGTAGCATCTCAGGAAAGGTCTTAATTCACTTTCCACTGAACATGACATACTGTTTCTCCTTGTACAGTTACATCATGATCCCAAACAAAGTTAACTGTATTACACTGTCCTACTGACAAAGAATCTACAGTTAAATAGTGAAATGCATTAGTGGCTTCACAGTTCATTAATTGCACAATTCACATTTCTGAAACAACTTTATCTTCACTATGTGCTAATATGACTGTAACACTGACTAATAACAACAGAAGTCAGAACTCTGCAGTGAAGGAATTGTACTACTTTTCCTGAAGATCTCAACATTCTTATTCAAACACACCACATGTTTTCTAAGGGACACTGCCACACAACAGAGACAGCCTTCATGTTCAAGGATTTGTTTTGCTAAAATTAACTTATTCACTGGTCTCCCCTCTTCCTCCCCTTTTCTGTGAGCTCAAAAATCTTTGAAACAGGGTAAAGATGTTTACTATCTACGTAACTCCTAGAAGCTGACTTTTCACTTAAGTATTCTTCATCTACCTGTGTAGACTCTGCTGATAGAATCAAATAGTGGCTCTCATGGACGTTCTGGACTCACACAAACGGTTGATGGACTCCAGGCTCAATAAGCTTTAATTAATGGAAGAAGTAGGCTGATCAACACTAGATTCTACAACAGGAAGCAGTTCTACTTCTCCCAGCAAGTCAATAATTACTGTTCGAAGTAACAATCAAGTAACCCAAAAGCACTGCAGTCTGTTAGCCGCCTTCATTATAAGTCAATAAAATTTGCCAGAACATCTGCCTGACTCATGGTGCTTTCAAATGAATAGAGCTTTGCAAGACCTCACCACAGTTAATCTCTGGTGCTTCCAAGATTTTGTATTATTTCCCATCTGACAGAATTCAACAGCATACTTGCAAAAGGCAGTGGCAAACTGCAGATTATGTAATGTAACATCTGCAGAATACATACAGGAACCAGCAGTCTAGAAAACCTGACCTCTAAAGAAAAACTGAAATAAATGATGTTCTTTAGCCTAAGGAAGAAAAGACTGAATGGGACTTAACAAGTCTTCAAGCACATAAAAGGGTTGTGCAAACAGGCAGGAGTAATGTAAGAGTACAGAATAAAAACTTTTTCCCTTCTTCCCCTCCCAAAATGAAAACTCAAAAGAATCTCACACAGATTTCTTACCATTTTATAAAGATCTGAAACACTGATCTGATCTGAATCCACAACCTCAAAGTCCTTCCGAGGAACTAAATCTAGGCCCAAATGTCTGCAAAAAAGAAGGAAGGAACAATGGTAAGTATGCTACATCAGTGTTCACTTATCTACTGCATGTGCTCACTTAAGGGCAAGAACACAAGAAATACTAAACTTTAACTCTTTTTGCAATTGTTAATCATTACACAGGCAATCCTTCTAAATAAAATTAAATGCAAATAGCAAACAAACAACCACTATGAACTTGTTACTTTTTGTTCACTGACTTCAGTGGAGCTATAGTAATTAATGTTAGTAGAAGCTTTTGGCCAATATGTTGGTGCCGTATCCAGAACAAGTTAATTTCATGCACAGAAATGTAGTAGGCAAATAAAGTTATTGCTCTGGTTCCTGCTGCATTATTTGAGTAGGTTCCTCCTCTACATAATGAAAAAGTTCCATTAGTAACCCTGTTCAAATGTGCAAATAGATACTGTGCCCTGAGAAACTGCTTTGAAATTCCTCATGTTCGTGCAACTAAACCCTCAACTTTATCACTGTATAAACATAGTATTTTTTTATAATAAACAATAACTGCCATATCAACAAGAATTTGAATCTGTGTTTATAACACATACATACAAAAAACCTTTTAATTACTCTGAACTGAAATAATATTTTTGGCTCAAATAAAATATATAAACTACTTTAAAAAAACAGTGCAAAGAGGATGATTAGTTAAGAAATTCTGTAATAAAGGAGGCAGTTCAGGTCACAGCTGTACGTGAGTAATAGAATAAGCTATTTTGCATCCAAATACAACTATTAATTAATTAATAATTGCAGACTGCAGAACAAGACAGTCTAAAAGGTGTCAAACAATCAACTCTTGCTCTGTAGCTCTTCAGGTTCTGAGGCATAGAGAGTTCCAAGCACTACAATAAAAAGCTATTCTAAATGCATACATTAGCAATAAAATTAGGAGTAAAATGAATGAACCATTTTCCCACTTTCATCTTACTTAACTTTGAAACTTCATTTACAGATATTTTATATTTAATTTCTTAATATTCTTAAAGAAAAATAATGCAGAAGAGGTGCCCTCATGGACTACCCTTGTGCTCTTTCTATAACTAACTATAAAAGAAAAGCAAAAGTCAATTTAATTTTGTAATCAGAGAGGGAAACATTCTGCACAGATTTGTTCCTGACAGCAAATGAAAAATTTTATTTGAAAAAACCTCTCAGGTACCACAGAGTAATTGTACGGTGCAATAACCAGAAGCCTCCAGGCAATACAGTGCCTCTTTCTGAGCAATTAACTTAAAAACAACAGCAAGGAAGAACCAGTGGTCTGTATGAAGCTCAGTTATCTTTGCTGACCACTGTACTTCTAAACATTCCCCGTAAGTTTCCCAACTCCATAATTCTTTTTGAAACTTAGCTTAATCAGGTTTTCCTTCTTTCATTATATGCCTAAACCATCATATCTCAAAAACATAGCTCAGCCCTGGTCCACTTGCTGGCAAACAACTGTTAGGCAGTACTAGAACTGCCATTAAAATACTGGAATTCCTGCATTCTTAGTTCTTTGCCAAAACCAGTTTTATTTTCAACGGCAAAAGGAACAATTTTCCTTCTTCAATGGAGTTTTCATGCCAAATACCAGTTTCTAAATTCTAAGGCTAAATTGTGAAAATGATGGTTCTACATCTTTTACACACTTTGGTTTGATTAAACCTACCAAACACAAGTTATCCTTGGCCCAAGACTAGTATCTGAAAACTGCAGCTGCAAAGATAAAATGTATCTATTTACCAAATGAAAAACATTAAAATAAGAATGCACTAAGTAATCATTAACTGCAGCTGTCATTTGGGCCTACTCATCCTAGAAAGTCCAAAAATACAATAGAAAAAAGTGGTAACAGGTAAAAATAATAATAGGCAAGGGTCTCCTTCAAAGTGTTTTTGAAGAAGTTAATGTTCATCATATTCATTCACAGAAGTTTTCCTGAATTGGAATATCTAAACCTCCTCCAAAATGCCCAAAAGAAGTTAATATTCATCATATTCATTCACAGAAGTTTGGAATATCTAAACCTCCTCCAAAATGCCCAGTCACTCACATGTGTGTACGCACATCTCCCTAAAGCATATTCATAAAGGAATTTCTCCTCTACACACAACAAATTATTTTCTAATGACATTATCAAAATAACTTATAAGTGTATTACAGTTACAAAGCACTATTAAAGTTTTACAGAAAAAGCTGTCAAAGCTAATCATAACCTGATATTGTATTCTCATAATTTCAACTCTCTAGACAACTGAGGTCAAACAGTGGTTGGACTCATTAGTCAATACATGACAAAAGTATTATCTTGTACTTAGTAACATTTAACACAATTGCAGCAGTACCCCTGTGAAACTTATCTGATATCCTATTTTTAGTTAAATCCCTTAACACCATGGATTTCCAGCCCAGAAGATTCTCATTCTCTAATACTATATTAATCCCGCACAACACTTGCTCCCAGCAAATAAAGGTGTCTTTGTGCTTTAGTACTAACACACTGTCATTTATGGTGCAGGTGGAAGTTCAGGTTTATGGATTTAATTTGTATTAGTTATTTTTTGCTTGCAAAAGACTGACAACAATATTTGAAATGGCAATGATAGTCAGTGGCCCACTTTCACTCTCTATTATCAAATACTGTGAGAATATAAGAGCACCAGCTGCCAAGCAGTACTTCTCCAAAACACAGCATGCATAAAAATTAGATAATGTGCTGTTTTGTGTATTTGACAGTTCTTCTCTCCACAATACTTTCTTTTACAAGCAAAAGCATGTGTTTTTTTAATTCTGCTTTAACATTGAACTGACTTTCAAAAATATTTCCCAAGTATACCTACAAAATATCCCCAATCCTAATCAACTACATCCTGACAGCATATGGTTGGGATAACTCCAGCTGACTTTTAGACATTTCTCATCTTCCATATAGAAGTCATTAGAATTTTCCTTCCTTCAGGGGGAAGAAAAAATAAAAAATCCACCACCCAAAATCTCTAGACACTTTTCTCTCAAGTAATACAAAGAAAAGCCAATAGACAAAAATGCTAGCATTTTTAATACTGAAAGGGATGAATATACGACTCTACTTCAGGTTAACTGGGCTTCTAGAGAAAATCAATTTGGTTTTAATGGTAATTTCAAAGAATTATCTTAATTTTTAATATTTTCAATTATTTAAAATACAAATGCTACACCATCTAGAATTCAGAAAACCACAAGTCATAACAACTCCTCCCAGAAGAACCTTGCAGAAATACATCATTTGACTAAAAAATGTCTTCAAGATGCACATTCAATCTTGAAGAAGAGACTGGGAGAACTCATCACATCTCGAAAGTGTGCAAAATCTCATCCCCTTTGCTCCAAAAACATGCACTTTACCTTTGCTCTTTTCAGCTTTAATTTCACAGACCCAAATTTTCCTTGTATTTTTTCTCCCACTACATCAAAGCCTCATTTAATATCACTCATATTTCTCTTACACTAACACATTTATAAAAGTGGTAAAGGAAAAGGAAATTATCCTGATATTGATTACTATGTGCAGACTTTAAAAAAGACTTCAAAGGAAATACAATACAGAAATCCATGGGAAATTAAATATATGAAAAACATGTTTGTGAAAATTAGACTGTGCTAATACAACTTGATACTTTTCTTTGACAGAATTAAGTTATTTTGTATACAAAGAAACTGCAGCGGTTGTAATCTATAAAGAAATTATTAAAGTGATGCAACACAGGAAATTATTTCTTAAAATCAGGGTGATGAGATGAAGGTAAGTAATCTGGTAGGGAACTGATAAATGGGAATGGCAGCAAATACTTTTGAGCATGGAACTATCAGGCTACAGAGAGAGGTTATTAAGAGTTTCCTCAAAGACTGACATCCAAGAGTTCCTTAAACCTCATTCAATCATTACCACAGGAATTTTCAGGACAGGGAAAAAATATTCTATATGTAGACAGGAACAGCAACTATTCTTTCTGCAACCTTCTTAAAGGCATTTCATTATGGCTGTTTAAATTGTTCACTCCTATTTTAATCACCTTTGATGCAACAACTACTGCAATAAAGTTTTTCTTCATTCACAAACTGATTTCCAGATACTATGACCTCATATGTACATTTAATACTTATCTCCAAGTGCATTTTACAAACTTTAAGCTAATTGTTGCAACACTACCAGGAAGTTATTATTATTCCTTTTATGTAAAGAAAAATGTGACAAGAGGGTAAGTCACTCAAAGTCCAAAAATAGTCTTCTAAGGATGTGAGCACTGAACTTCAGGACTTTCTGAGTTTTAAGACTATGCTTACTTCACTGGATCACACTATTCCCTCCACACGTTACTCATGTTAGTAGTTAGTAGGTACTCACACTGCAACTATCACTGGCTTTCCAACTACAATTTTGAGGTAAGAAAAATACCATGACTTTAAAACAGTGTTTCATTTTTTTGGTATGACAGTGTGGAAGATTTATTTCTAACATTTCCCCCTTCCCTGTTTTTCTTTTTAAACATTCATTTGTAGCTTGTGGATCTTTCTGTGCAGAATTTATTGCAACTATTTGGAAAATTTCTTTTAATGCAATTATTTTAATAACATTTTACGTGAAAAAGAAGAACCTTTGACTGAAATGTAACACAAGCCCACAAACTCATCATGTTTATGGCTTTTATCTGCCCAAAATCTCAAAGTATTGGTGGCTCCCCCTCCCCTACTCTGTTTCTGAGCCTATACATAGGGTATCTAGCCCATATTTATAAGGAAGGGAAGTATCTTCCCTTAGTATAAAAGGAAAAGTGATTATGCTCAGAAACCTGGATGCTTTTTATTAATCTCCTGACAGATGCTGTTAATCTGAAAGAATCAATCCTGAAAATCATTTAAAGTGACAGCTGACTTTTAAGTTAAATTACTTTGAAGAAATCTTCATCTGTCTTCTTAGTAAATAAGGTATGCACATACTGCTGCAATTAATTTTTTGCACTGAGCAGAAGCAGAGCATGCACATTTCACACAGAAGCAATGTAAGGCAGATTCCTTCATCTGTTTTTGATGCAGAAGACTCTTGTTTCCTGCTCTATAATTTTTTCCTTGTAATTTACAGACCATTGGACACTTGCAATAGCACTTCAGACTTTGATAGATATTCTAATATTAGATATTCTAATAAACTGCATCAGAGTGAAACATTTTTAAAAGATGCAAATATTTGTAACATTCTGCATAAAATCTAGCAAGATATACAGGAAAAAAGACAATAAATGAGATTTCAGCTGTGCAAAGATATGCAGAAAGATGTTTAAAACTGAAAGTCTGAAACCATTAAGATGTTTATCTGAAGGTAGTAAATTCTGCTCTTGTGAGCAACTGGGAAATAAAAAAACCTATATAGCAGGAATACCAGTCACTGTATGCATACAAAAACAAGTCAACTGTGGGAAACCAGAAGAGGTAAGAAAGCATCACAAAAAGGATGCATCCAGGATTGTATTTTTGTACTGGGGAGAAAAAATGGGTAAGCAACAGAAGATTAAATTGCTACAATAAGTGGAAATCAGTATTGCATGATGAGACCGACTAGTAACAACACAAAAGGGACACAACGCAGCAAGAGTTGTAAAATAAATTACATTCCTACATTTTTAACAGACCAAACTACAGAGCAAAACTTCTTTAGACTAAGTATACAAAAATAAACAAAAGAAGTTCACTGTTCACTGTAGCAGTTCTGAAAACAGTCTGAATTACCTATTTCACAAAAAAATCTGTAACTATTAATCCAAGGAGCCTTGGTCTCTTGGTTCCCATTTATTCTACTGGGAATTATAATAGAAAATATCTAGCTCTACGGTGCAGAACAATGACCTGATGCAATCTATTAGACTCTGTCCTTCAGAGCTTTCTTCCAACAAAAGAGAAATGAAATGTAGCATGGGGGCTAGCTAAATCTTCATGAATATATTTGTGTGTCTCTCAGAGTCCTGAAATAGGTGACTAAGGAACGGAGTCACAACAAAGATATGTTAGTGAAAAACATTGTACTTTCTTCCTTAGTTGTCAACTTACAGAATTCCTTCCCCCATTAATTAGCACTAATCCTACTCCTAGTTGAAAAGCTGTTCCTCTATGCCTGAGGAGGGTGATACTTCCTTTGAAAAGGTCATGTGTGTGTCATGCAAAACTTACCTGTCTGATACACTATGGCTCAGAACAAAACCAGTTCTGGTGAAGGGCTAGCTTTTGTCTAATGGCAATGTATTACCATTTCAGCTTCTATCTGAACAGCAGTCTTCTTTGGCTCGAAAAAAAGCTCCGCAAATTCACCATGGAACTGAGCAAGGAAAGTCTAAGCCTCTGAGAAATGTCATCAACAGCCAAATACATAAATTATAATTATATAAAAAGTCTAAATGTCACTGCCTCAGCTCAAAAGTCACTGTTAACAGTGAGATTCTCTAGTTATTGCAGCAACCATTAAAATACTTCTTCAACTGACAAATGGGTTTTTAGTATCTAACAAGTACTCCCAGGGCTAATATTCACTATATAGATACAAAGTTAATTGACCTAAACCTTTTAAAAGTGCAGATAGCCTTAGAAAAGACAACTAATAAGCAAACAGCTAATTTTCTAGAAATAGTAGAAGTACGCAAACTCACTGTAAAAATTTATATTTGATTTCCAAATAATTAAATGTTCTACCTGTGTACAAATACTATCAGAAGGAAAAAGCTGTTTGTGGTTTTTGCCCCCTTTTTAAAAAAAATAAAAGCTATTTAAAAATAATTAGAACGAACAGTACCCAGCTGGTACCTGTACTTACTCATTGCCCCAGTCCAGCCTCACTGTGAGGTGTCTCTTGACCTCTCGCACCTGATCCTGTGTCAAGTGACCTGACAGCAGCTGTCTACGTAGGTCAATGAGTTCATTCATCACATGGCGCAGTTTGTAGAAAAGATCTACCTTATGTTTCTGTAAAGGCATATTTTTGGGAGGAGAGGGTAAGAAAGTGAAAAAAAGAAAGAAAGGGAAAGGGAAAAAGAGAAGGAGGGGAGAAGAGAGATTAATAAGTTTGGAAAGATAAAGAGTGTAAGAAAGAAGAAAAAGAGAGGGAGAGAGAAAAAGAAAGAGAGATTAATAAATTACCAAATTTCATTTAATTACCCTAGAGGAACATTAATCCAGTTTGTACAAGCTTTAAAATATTTATATCAAATGCTATTTAAACTGAGTAACTTTTTATTTCTAAACTTTAGGCTCAATCTGCTAAGGGGTCCATTTTCTGATGGAATCTAATGCTATAAGAGGATTCA